GGAGAAGAGATGAATGAGATACAGAACAGTGAACTGGGAGCTCAGAAGACAATTTTTGTTGAAGGCGCATCCTGAGGGAGGAGGAAGCTCTGATTCCAGCCCTCACTTGGAATTTCACAAGGTTTCCGGCTTATAAGAGAGTCTCGGAATTTTAAATTTAAAAAAGATCTTTAGAGAGAATTTATTTGAGCCTTCACTTTCGCAGCTAAGAAAGCTGCTTTCCAGAGAGCGGATGGCTTGTCCAAAATCACAAAGCCAGTGAGTGGCAAAGCCCATCCAGAAGCCAGGCTTCCTGCTGCCTGTGTGGTATTTTCCCCGCTGCCTCATACAGTCTTCCTGAGAGGTCAGGGCTTTTCATGGTTTTAAGAAATTCCCACAGTTGCCTGAAGGAGAGTCTGGGTTGAAAAAAGGGACACTCCTCAGCTGCAGGGAGAGAGGGCCCTCCCCTTCTCTCCAGGAGACTGAGACAAATGAGGAGCTCACTGTGATGCTGGTGTTGCCACTGCTGCTGCTGGCTACTGTCATTTCCTAAATGCTTAGATTTTGTAAAGTATCTCATTTAATCTTCACAAAAAACCTACAAAGAACATGTAATTATGTACATTTTCAGATGAGGAAAGCCCTAACTTAACATCTCAGGAAGCCCTAGGGTGGAGAGAAGCAGAAGAATGATCAGGTCACATGCTGATTCTCTTGTCAAAGCTTCACCTACAATGCAAACATTTGTAACTTCTATTTGGTACTTCCTATCACCTACTTATCAATACTTCATTGGACCAAGATAAAATTCCATTATTCTGACATTCCTATAAATATTGCAATGTATTGTAAGCTTAGAGAATAAGACTTTCATCCTATTTTATTGTTCTAATGTAATTTTTAGGAGCTGAAAGTAAGGGATAACAATAAATGAAGACAAAGGTAAAGAAAGATAATACTTTCCCATATGATAGTTTCAATGGCATAAAACAACAGCACACCACTTAGCACATTGTTTTTAAGTTGTTTTAAAGTATCTCCTTTTTCTCTAAATTTGTTCATTTTAATAGTATAAAGAATGGAATAAAAAATCTTTGGATTTATTTTCCACATATTCTGCCTTTGAGATGTTAACATAAATGTTGTTACATTTTCACATTTACTCTTCTTCTGGACACAGAGCTCAACACTCCCAGGTCCATGGCTCAGATGAGGCCCAGTCTTTTGTCCACATGGCAGCCTGCGGGACAGATGCTCTTTTCCCCAAGTCCCGGGAGCCAGCGGTCAGGACGGCTTCCCTGACAGAAAGGCTTCGGGTTAGCGCGTGCGCTAGAGGAGGGGCTGCGGCCTCTGGGCAGTCGGGGGCAGGCAGCACTCAGCCCGCAGTGTCGGGACCTGCTGCTTTGTAGGGTTTCTGCTCATTCATTAATTACCGTGGAAGTACTGACTGTGACATTCATGGTTTTAATTAAAACATCAACAAATGAATTTCTCTTCACTTATATTGCTGTTAGCTTTTTATTTGTTCTAGGCTTAAAAAGTTGACCCTATTTACTATACTTCCTCAAAACTTCACACATACCAATATGAATTGCTTACCTCCTTTCCAGAATGGGGTTTGGAGACAGATAACTGTGGTTTATAAAATATTTGATATGGTGTATTATTGATTATTGTAGTCTTGTCTTCAATCTGAATAATTTGTATACCTTGCTGTACCATGGAGGAGATGCAGAACTGACATAACTGCAAGACGATTGAGGAAAGAGTAATTGTTAAAATCTTATAAAGCATATGAAAATCTCTTGATTATTTGTAAAAGATCATTTTACCTATTGCTTTGCCCAGGATAGTATCAAATTTACCTTTTGTTCCAGAGTACTTAATAGAGTCCCTTTTCAGTGTCAAAAATGTCCTGATCCCTAAAAAGAGCCCCTATTTACAACAGGGTACTTTAGCTAACCAGTTACGTTTGCTGCTACTGCATAGCAACAGATAGAGACGTGTTTTCAAGTTATTTAACCAGTTCCTTCACAGATGCCACTCATCTTTTTCAGCATAAAGAATTCAATTAAACATTCCTCCTCTTCCTCCTCATATACATCACAGCAGCTACCTCACTGAAGGCCTATCATGGACCAAGGGGAGTTCTGAGAACTTTGATGATGATGATGATGATGAAGAAAACATAAATGACTGACCCTCATATATTGCCTGCTTGTGGTCCACTCGTTTTAAGTATTTCATGTGTATTAACTCACAGCATCTGCACAACACCTACAGGATGTAGCTGCTATTATCCCCATTTTATAGAAGAGGAAAAATAGGCACAAAGAGGCTAAGTAACTTGCCTAGGAACACAAATATAAAGAGGGTCTAGTTGGGGCTGGAAACCATGCAGTGTGGTTCTGTGTGTCACCTCATTACCTTGCCGTGTTATACAAGGAAATGATGCTCAGGGAAGGTATTATTTGTCTAAAGATATTCATCTAGCAAGTGGTAATATCAGGACATCAGTTCTCAAAGTGTAGTCTGGGGACCTTTGGAGGGGATATTTTTGAGATCCTTTTGGGGGTTCTAAAAGTCAAAACTATTTTTACAATAATGCTAAGATGCTATTTGTCTTTTTCATTCTAATTCTCTCATGAGTATACAGTGCTGTTTTCCAGAGGTTGTATGACATATGGTGTCACTGCTTTCATGACTAATGGAATGTATGTATACTCTTGTGTTTTAAATTTTTTTCTTTTCACTTCTAATTTGATAAATATCAATTTGATAAATATCAATAGATATAACCCATTTAAACAAAAGATTTTTGGAGGTCCTCAATAATTTTTAAGAGTATAAAGGGGTCCTGGGAATGAAGAGTTTGAGAATCACTACTAAAAAATGAGACAGAAATATATGTATTTTCCAACCGTTCATTCCTTTGTTTGTTCGTTCGTTCATTCATTCATTCGTTCATTCATTCAAAGATTTATTCAGTAGTTGCTGTGGCTACTTTGTGAGATGCTGGAGGTATTGGGTATTTGACTGTATATCCTAACATTTTTTCCAGGTTTTGATGGTAGTTATCAACTTACAATGATTCAACTTTGGGTGATTCACGCTTACAGCTCTTTGCCATTTATACCCCTGTTACAGTATTTTGGCCGGCAGAGCATAAACATGTGTTGCCCAGACAACTTTGAGGAAATGGATACCAGCCTTGAATACTGAAGAAAGACCAACTTTTGTGTCAGAGAAATTTATTTTTAAAAAGTCACCAAAGTGACCCTAACTTTTCTCAAGAGGCTCTTCAAAGATGCCTGTCAAAATTTATCTTTTCCCCAGAGAAAGGTCATTCTGAATTATACTACTCTGATGAAATATCCCTTCTTTTTCTGATTTGGGACAGCTAAAATAATGAAGATATTACTGAGTGCAGCATGAGACCTCTAAATGGTACAGTCTGATAGTGTACTTCCATGCATACAGTTTAATGTGATTCGTTACTATATCATTCAGCTTAATTCATTTTCATGGACTTTAGGATTTATGCTGAAAAGCATACATGTGTGTTTAATTAATAACTGATTAAGTAGTTTTGTGCATTCATATCTTTAAAAACATGGGTACCTGTTCCCCTGGTTTCAGAACACAACTCCCTCTCATAACGTTTGGTTCTATGGGAAAATCAGAATTGACTCTCATCATCTGCTCACGGTGCCCTTTCCAGGAATATACCTTTGTTGCAGGAGCCTCTGCCCTTTCACTCAGCGCTCAGAATGTTAGCAACTCTACTTCCTGCTCTAAAGAAAGGAGGCCAAGTACAATTTGTGGGTATCTTGGAGTAAGTTCATTTTCCCCCCACATACAATAAATCAAATGACTGCTGAGTGTTCTGAACTAGAGCAGTTATTGGATAAATTATGTGACACAGCTTTTATCACTGGTAAAGGAAAAAAAAAACAACCCTGTAAAACCATGTGTTTCACTATTATAAATTGTCCACAACAAGTAATACCAAAAAGAGATTAACAAAAAAGAAAGGGGTAGATTTACTTTAATCAGGTTAAGGGGATGGCATGCTATTTCCCCTGAGCAACACAGGCTTTGATCTTACCTTCTGATGTCCTGGGAAGGCACCGAGTCTTATTTCAGCATCAACAAACCCTTCTTCATCCAATGATACAACTTCACCATTACCTCCATCTTTCCACTTTGGAGATGTCAGGTTATGAACCAGTTTAATTGCTACTGACTTGTGCACAGTATTTGTATTTGCCCAGTATATTCCAATTTGAAAAGCTTCCTGGAAAAATAATGCCTCAATTATAAAGTATTTTTCTTAACTTTGATATTTTTACTTCTATTCACAGAAATTTTTTTATATTATATAATATGTCTATTCAGGCAACCAAGTCCCTTTATGTTTTCTTTCTTTTATTTTTCTTCTTTTGTAATGGCAGCATACATTTTATTTCATATCCTGATGTTTTATTTGATTTATGATAGAATTCATATTTATGAAAGGGGAGGGGGAACCAAATCCAAACTGTAACTACTCTATAAATACCAAAGGCTTAAAAACTGAAGGTTTCATTTCATTTGACAAAAGAATGATATGCAACATTAGGTCCATGTAGTCAACATTCCAATTCCATAAGGTAACATCATCTGATTATTGAAAAAAAGGGAAAAATGCAATTGAATAAAGATGTTTATGAAATGGAGCTAAAAAAAAAACTCTCAAATTGTTCTCTATCAGGAAAACATTTTATTTAGGAGTTCCTTATATTCTATTTTCTTACAGATTAATGTGCTTTTTAAAAATGAGCTAGCCTTATCAAGAAAATTCTCATGTGATGGAATATAAAATCTTCCTACGAAATTTTGTTTTGCAACTAGGCTTTCCCCAAGTGATGACTCCACGCTGCTGTTGTCAACAACCAGATGGGCATCAAAAGTATGGACAGTCAAGTCCACTTATCAAGGAAAAGAAGCCCTGATGAAAATGGTTGCTCGGAAATCCCAGATTCTTACCCGTCTTACAGATCTCTGTAAGAATGACAAAAATATCTAGGGGGCAGGTAAGCACAGACTGTGTCCTTAATGTATTTAGAGAAGGCCAATTCTAATGCTTGTCAAATATCCCGTCCACAATGGAAATGAGAATGTAACTAGTACAAGATATCAAATTTAATCAAGCATAGATACAAATCAAGCATAGATACTGCTGATGGGTAAAAAAGGACATCTGAAATGTCTTTGAATCAAAGAACATTCCATATCCCTTACATATGTATCTAAAAGGACAGTTTCCCACAACTGATTCAACCTCAGAATGCAAACTCAGAATAAAAGCTAGTTGTTGAAAGAAAAGAATTCATATTAGTTAAAAAAAAAAACTTACAGTACCTGAAAATTAGGAGGGATAATAATTTTGCCAGCAGGAACCTGTAGAACAATCTTCTCTCCTTCAAACAGCCAGAGGTCCCACTTGGATTGATTGATAAGCAGGGCCCAGGGTAGAAGTTCTATCAACAAGGTTCTAACATATGGCTTCCAGACTGACAGCTTCACTTGCATTGGGCTATCCCACTGACTCAGCTGTTCATTCCTGTTCCAAATACCACATCCAACAGACTCAGTGAAATACAATGACTTTGGTATTCATGAAATATGATTAAGGATCCCAGACAAATATGACCCCCCTCTTCATATCAGAGTCATACAGTGCTGAATTTGCATAATTTACATCGAGGAGATAGAAAATTTTCTAGATTATGAGTAAAGCAGTCTACGAAACATATCTATGCAATGATGAAGGGTCAGAATCTGACAGATACATGCAAATATCTTCTTTTTTTAAAACACCTTTTTTGGTATTTAACATTTTTGTGAATAGCCATTTATTACTTAATATTGAAAAATGTTTGTAGAAAAATATTGCTGGAGAACATTACCTGTCAGAATCCTTTTTATTATAGGGCCACATGGGTTGAAGAGACTTTTCCGGCCCGTAGAATTCGTCAAGGATCTGACTAACTGTGCCTCCAGGGTGTATCTTAGTGGCTATTTGCTTAATGAGGGATGTTGAGATAGGAACAGCATAATGTGAAGGATCATCTTCTTCTCTGGGAAATGGAAAGAAAAAACAAGAATAAGTATCAGATTTCTAAAGTGGTCTACAATTTATTGAAGAAATCTAACTATGAATGTATTACAGTCCAATAGGTTTTTGTGAGACTTTTGGTGATTTAAGGATGACACATTGTTTGCATGATCCAGGCCCTGACTTTTCCTCTTATGACCCCCTTCCCTGACCATGCTTGGGTAAGATCTCTATTTCTCTTCTTCCGTGAGAGAAATTATGTGTCAATTAAATTTTTTGATGATCCCTCTTATTTCTAAGCTTAATGAAAGAGGCTGAATTTAATTTAAAATTACAGAAGAGAATAAGAGAATACGAGGCTGGGCAATTTAAAAATAACATTCTCATACCAAAAAACTCTATCTTCCTTCCTCCTCGATAGTATAAGGCTACTTTTTTACTGAATTTCTCTTAAGAAAATATAAATATTTTTCCAGTACCTTGCTTGAAATGTTAGGTGATGTACAAGGTCAGGTTCTATGTTTTGCAGTGGTTTTTCCTGCCCCTTTCCTGGAATAACTTGTGTTTCACTCAATCCCAGACTCCTTTTCTCCAAATGTATGATAATGGGGTCTGGGAGATGACTCCTCATGATAAAGAGAGGGCTGAACACAATCTATAAAAATAAAAGGACAGAAGAACTTTCATATTTGCTTTGTTGCAGTATTCCAGCTGTTTGATGCTGAAACAAACTTGTAATAAATCTCTTCTCCGGGTCATTCTGACCTTAATTTATTTCAGAACAGGAAAGGTCAGAGTCATACACCATAATTTAAGATTGGAAGGTACTCACTATTCGTTGTTGCACTTGAGAGTTGGGTTCTAAAGTCAAAACTGTGCACCAGACATAAATAATGGAACTGTTTGAAGATGGCACCTGCACATGAGATAGGAGAGGGTCCTATTAAATACTAGTTCACTAATTAATCAAAATAAGGCACAGGCATAATGCTGGTTTGGAGGATTAAGGAGTTTAAAGTTATAGAAAAAAGCCATAAAGGAGAATAACTAAGTAAAACCAGACTTCATTATGGCACAAAGTGAATATGCAGAAAGTGAATGGGGCCAATTCTTTCCATAAAGATGGAGGAATTTGTATGAAGAGGGACTGATATAAGACTGAGTGGGAGAATGAAAGAGGATTTGTCCTTTAAGATAATGAAAGTGATAATGGTGGAAGATGAGGAAGAGATAAAAAAGCAACAGATCATTACAAAAATTCTTAGGTGGGGAGGACACCCCTCCCCCAAAGCCCTGGTGCATCAGAATCTTTTTCAAGCTACAACTTGCCTCCATCTGGGACGGGGGAGCATCCTGGCTGTAAGAAATCCTGGAACGGATACAAATGTGTTGTTGTGGGATAGGGAGGAAACAGTTTAAGGAGTAATATTCAAAGCCTCTTTATATTACTTCAGATCTCCCCTCCTTTGTCTATATCACTTTTTAATAAAAAGTGCTATATTGAAGAAAGAGCATAATGAGAAATTTTTCATTTCAAAGCTGCTCCATTCTATATTGAACTACTATTCATACCTGAATGACAATGCTGTACTCAGGGGCCTTGGAGTCCAGGCACACGTCTCTTGACCAGTCTTCATCTCCTTTGGCCTTCACACACAACTCTGTCAGTTCACTGTTTTCTAGGATGTACGAAGGCAATTTCTGTTTGGCTGTGAGGCAGTCAAAATGTTCTCGAACCACAGCTTGTCCATCTTGACCGATGTAATGCTGAACGACTTTTAGTTCTATGCTTTGAGACAAGTAACTACAGATGATCTGTCTTCCACAGATGATAATCTAAAAGACAAAAATTAAATAAGTCATCATCAATTCAGATCTCATGAATTCGAAATATGTATCGTTCAGAGTAAATTATGTGGATTTTTATGGCAAGAAAATGAAGTCATTAGCTTATTCAGAGAGTACAAGAAGAAAAAGAGGCTTGGAGAGAGGGGATTTTGCTTTGGTCATACTGAGTTTGCAGCATTCAAAAGACAAACACATAGGCAGAAATACCAGCCATGTGCTTGAGAGTGAAGATGAGGCTGGAGATCAGACTTGTGCAATAAAAGCCCTGCAAATGTAGGCAGAAGAGAGTTTACGTAGAAAAGAGGGTAGAAGCTCTACCCAGCAACTGACCAATACTTTAGGGACCAATACTCAGGGTGAGAAGCCAGAAAAGGTGCTGAGAAGAAGGAGTGAAGGAGTGTGGCAGTGAATCAGAAGAAAGCAGCGCTGCTGAAGCCACAAGAGAAGAGACTGACCAAGAGGTGGCGGTCAATGGTATCAAATAATGCAGCAGTCCAAAAGGACAAAGATCACAAAGAAGACTTCAGCCCTTGTAGCTGACAGGTCAACTGTGATCAATCTATTCCCTAAAGCTGGTTTCCAAGGGTTTATTGTACACTTATACATTAAGTGATCTCTGTATAAACTGGTAATACAAACGCTTTTAACTCAGATGCTTAATTATATTTTATTTTATTCAGGTTTTTCCTATAGTATAGAAGCATGCACCTTTATAAAACACACAGATTTAGCATTAAACCCATTGATTATCCAACTTTTCATTCAGCTAAGAGAATAGTTCATAATAGGCATTGAAAAATGTCTCTTAAATTGGTTGAAATGGAAAAAATATGTAAAATTTACAGAATCCTTCTGTAAGATGAATATTCACCATGATGGATGCAAATTGGACTTTTATATCTGGATTTCCTTATTCATGATATTTTTCAGATTATAAAATATAGCAATAACTAATGTACATATAGTATATTCATAGGTCTATGCATGTGATGGTTAATTTTATGTGTCATTTTGAATGGGGGGGGGCGAGATTAGCAGTTGAACTGGGAGACTGAGCAAAGCGACTGCCCTTCTTAATGTGCCTGGGCCTCGTCCAATCGGAATAAAATGAGGAACCTGAGTAAAAGGGAACTTCTGTCTGATTGCTTGAGCTGGACGTTGGTCTTTGCCTGGCCTTTGGTACTGAGTGAAGTAGCAGCTCTTCTTGGGTTTCTAGCCTGTGGACTTTAGGACTGGAACTAGATGCTGGCTCTTTTGGGTCTCTAATTGCAGATCATAGATCTTGAGGTTTCTCAACCTCCATAACGTGTGAGCCAATTATCATAAATCTCTCCCGCTCCTTCTCCACATGCATAAACACACGTTTGTTATGTACAAACACACACATCCTACTGGTTCTGTTTCTTTGAAGAACCCTGACTAATACAAAGCATTTTCCTAAGTTAACTCATAATCTCACAGCAAGCTTATAAAATAGGTGCTACAATGACTCCTTGTCTTAACAAGGAGAAAATGGAGTCACAGAGATGTTGAACAACTTGTCCACTATTATCCAGACTGGCCCAGAATCTGTGTCGATAATCAACCTGACAGTCTGTCTCTCATAAAATTAACACTTACTAATTAAGAAAACTTAGAAACTATAAAAAAAGAGACTAAAATCTGCCCGTCATAATGTACATGTGGCAGACACCACTGGTTTTGTCCCGAGTAGCTGGTTCCTCCTTCTCCTTTGCTATTAAAAACACTGATTGGTTTAGGTCTCAAAAAACAGCTAAGTACTCAGGTAAGGCATGCAGTCTCCATGTCCCCTGGAGGCTGTATCATAAGGGTATAAACTAATCCTGGTAATTCCTTTTGCCACTGATTAGTTTAGGGGTGAACATGGGACTCTATTTTGGCTAATAATATGAAAAGGAAAGATTACTAAAAGGCTCTGGGAAAGATTTTATTCCTTGATAAAAAGAGAAACAATTAGAGAAGAAAAGCCCTTCTTTTCTGTCATGAAAAGAATTAGGAGAGTGTGTGTATGTGTGTATGTATATATATATAGATATATAGATATAGATATCTCTCTCTCTATATATAGATATATAGATATATAGAGAGATAGATATGTATGCACCTTTTGTAGCCATCTTGAAACCAGGAAGGCAAACTTAAGAGGATGGCAGGGAAGAAGATGCAGGGTTGAGCTGCTTAATTAACCAACACTACCTGCTTTCTTCCTTGTTATGTAGATAACAAATGTAAAACAGGAACTCTAATAGTATCTGCCTCATTATCTTGCTAGGAAGATGAAAAAGCCTATCTTGTAACTTTAAACTGAAAGCATACTAATTGATACATTTTCCTGTCATTAAGAATACTTTATAACCATCATTTTAACAAGAACTGTTATTTATACAAACATGAATAGCTATTTATGAATGACCTATTTTTTACCCAAAACAAGCCTGCTAGATTGATAGACCAAAACTTAAGCATCATTGTTGTTTCAACTTGTATTATTTGAATAGTGAATTTTAACATTTTGTTAAACATTTATTTTCCAACTATCTATTCCTTTGGATTTTCTTTAGAAAGAACACATCTGTAAAAACCAGGCTGTGCTTAACTCTTACATTTCTTCTAGATATTCTGGCCATCACAATTTCTTAAAACAATGTTTTCACAGTAATGAACATAAAACTCAACTGAACTCAGTCCTAAATTAGCAGTCAAGCTTTTCTTTAACAATATGCTAGGGGTTACTAGATACTCATGATAATTCTTATGATGCCATAGCATTGCCTAACTTTAAATAAATGTTTGAAAGCTCTGCGGCAGTATTTAACTCTGTTCTTGCTCTGGACGAGCCGTTCCTGGCAACGTATGCACATTGCTCCTGCTTCAGAGCCTTGGGCCCCGTGAGATTTAGGAGAGAATTCTGCTGTCTCTCAGAGAAACCACAGAATCTCTGCAACCATCTGGGGCTCACTTTGTTTAAAGACAGAGATCTTCTTGGTGGGTTTTTATAGTTTCATTTTCAACTAAAAAGCCTGTTAAATAGGCTTTCAAATGTGATAAAAAGAAAATCTTTAAAAGTGGCCAGGGAGGGAAAGCTACTTAGATGAAGGGAAATCCAAAATGGCTGCTCCTCACGGTGGGGCACTCTGCGCTGCTCCCGCACAGCAGGGTCTGCTCTTCCTCAAAGTGGCAACACTTACGACGCCTTTGTTTTGAAAATTATGGTTAGAATTTCAAGATTAATTTATCAGTTGAAGACAGCTACTTAATTTTTTTAATGTAGGATTTCTCTTTAATACACGCTTCCAGGTTTCACACTAATTCCCCTCTTTCCCCAAAGCCACAAAGATATGTACTGAAGATTTCCACATATGATTTTACTTAGCAGGTTTCAGAACTCTTATTAGATCAGTGCCAAGAAGAATAGTGATATTAAAGAATAACTCTAGAGCACCAGATGCACTGGAAAATGATATCTTAACCATGATTAGAAGTGTATGTATAAAGATACAAACATACATACACACACTCATATGTACATTTAAGATTCAGAATGGTAAAGCTTTCCTCAATAAAAGGATGGGAAACACGGAAGCGAATATGTTTACATGACTAGTTGTATATTGCACAAAGTTACTGAGACATTTTATGTGGTCAATTTTCATTCAGCTGGGGAAATAGGGGTACAGGAAAGGCAGTGTATCGATAACCAAAAGACACTGTTCAAACGAGCTTCAGCCATTTCCCATTATCCAGGAGCTGGACACTCTCACCTCAAATGGGGCTCGGTGATTAGGCAGCTGTGGTTTATTACAAATTCCTAAGACCAGGTAGGGTAGAAGGAAAGAAGCTCTAAGACCAGGTGGGGTAGAAGGAAAGAAACTCTTCTGGAAGTTTGGTTCATACCTTCCTTCCTAACCTAACTAATTGAGGAAATCCTGTGTCTCCGGTGTACCTTAACTAGAGCTAACCTGAATGTTAGTTAATCTACCCTGATGATAAAAAATTAGATCCAATTGAAAAAGTCATTGTAAATTTGTGTGTGTGTGAGTGAGAGAGTGAGAGAGTGAGAGAGTGAGTAAGTGTGTGTGTGTGTGTGTGTGTGTGTGTGTTCGCGTGCGTGTGTGCTGGGGGA